TATGTATTGTGATGTTTGGGTGTAAAGGCTTAAATTATGATTGCAAGCTGTCATTCACAGACTGAGACATATTCAGATATGTAAAAATCACACTGATGAATCAACAGATTCATAAAATTCACATTGACATAACCTTGTCAATTTAAGTCTACTCCGGCCTGAATCATGTTCCCATAGTTCACTCTGGAGAGAGAACTCACTGCCACACTCATATTCAGGCATATCACTTTCATCTTTGTGCGATAAATGTAAACATAAAATTACATTATTTCCAAGAATTTAGGGAGCCACAGTCTAGTGTAAACACTAAAATAATAAAAAATATTCTTCACTCATTGGCTGGAAGTTGATCTTAATGGGGGCCTGCATAGACAATGTAACCAACCTTATAAGTGAATGTATCGAAACATAGAAAGAAAATCAAAATCACAGCACAAATTACAAACACAATACACGCAATATAAGACTGCTATATTATGACATAGCCACTTGTTATTTGCATGTTGATGTAATATGGATGGATGCAGTGTACAATTTTACCTAGAGAACACTCTGTTCCTCCCTCCTCGAGAGAGTTTTCTGTATCCAAAATTCTAAGCTCAGCATATTCAAGAGCATAAGTGGCTTCGGCGGATACAAAATAATAAGCACAGCATTATATAGAGGCAATATCTTAGTGTCGACTTTAGTGCATAGTTTTGTAAAGCCGTGAGAAAATTTTGCCGAGTGCTTTATCTGTGGTACTGCTATTATAAACATTTGTGAAATTCCGAAGGCGTAAAATACAAATACAAATTAATTTATTGAAAATCTGAAGGTGTAATGAACTGAATTGAACGGTATAAATTCAAGTAGACTTCTGAAAGTGCTTCGCGTATTCTGCAATGACTCAATACAATCAAACTGTTCTCCAAGTGAAAACTGTGAGCGAAAACTATCTGCTCTCCAACAAAGTGGTTACCTGCACGATTATTAGAAGAATGTAAGAAATCTGCTTCAGTATGCGATGTATCACGAAGAATCGCGACGCGACAGCGGTCGCTTGTTTTATTAGGCAAAGCACCGGGCGAATGGTTAAGTTCGCGAAGAAACATAACGATAAAAGCCATGGCCAAAGAATGCAGTCCACTTTTTCCACAGTCAACATTAAACTCCGTGGGATCAACATTTTGTTTTCCTTCGTGTTTGCTTTGTTGTTTAACAAGTGATTGACGGGTTCTTACATGACATTTGACGAAATAAAATTATCACGTTTACAGCTAACCTAGAAACATTAACAAGGCCGACTTATAGTCCGGCGCCATATTACTTTTCGGAAAGACCATTGCTTACGGTAAAGTAACATAATTCAGGTAACCGTTTGTGACAAACTGTGTTCTGTTTAAAAAGTGATTGAAAACTTTAACTTCTCAGTAAAAGCGGAAAATAGACCCACAGCCCACGAAACATTTCAAGGCAATTTTAATTAAACACAAGGTGAATTTATGCTAATCTTTGAGAATGGGAATTTTTTTTTATATAATGGTAATTGAACTGAGTGGAGT